TGTTTTTTAATTTGGCTATATTTTAATGTTTTTTAATGCTTTCATTACTATTTGTGTTTTGAAATGGAAATAGTTGACTTTGGAAACATTTTAACATTAAATTTACCTGAACATTTGTAAAAATAACAAAAATATGTCCTTGACAATTGCACCAAGACGTTTTTGCCGAAAATAGGTGAGCAGTGCAAGGAATTCTCCCACATTCTCCCGTCCCTGCATATCTCACGATACAAACACTATTATTAAATAAATATTCGTTCACTTCTCTTAATTTATGGTCTATTAATAACATATAACACTGCCTATCAACGTGCAGCATACAGTAGTACCTTCGTTTATGATTCTAATTCGTTACTGAAGACTCTTGTTGGTCTATGGAAGATGGTGAGGAGGGCGGGGGAAGGAGAGGTGTTAGTGTCTGGAAGGGAAGTCTCCTTCCATTATAACATCAGGCACTGAGGATTTTTCTGGGGTACACACTCTCTCCTACATTTTGCAGGCATACCACTAGGACCTGGTTGTGGCTCACTGCTTGGTTTGTTTAGCTAAAAACTTGTCTACTGACACTTGGTTTTTCCCTACATTTTAACACTCGGCTGTAGCGAGACATCACATTGTCTTTAAAAGGTTAATGCAATGGCCTGTTACAGCTTTATTTGGGTGACACTTTTCAGCAAAACTTTGCAGTTCTTCCCATACTGCACACATTTTCATAATGTGGAAGGGACATCAACAACCCGCATATCATTTTCATGTTTACAAATGATCTCGTTTTTCCTCTATTGTCATCGTCACAACAATTTTCTTAGATAGAACTTTACCACTGACTTTCTTGGGACCCATAGCGTGATATATAAAAACTTTTATATTCAGAAACCAAAACAGCACAAAAGCAATGAAATTCTTTACAAATAATTCAAGCGTGACCGTCACTGGGTGGGTAGGCAGGATATACTAGTAAACAATCGCATCACATCCCAGCAACCCGTGCTCGTTCGACCCAAACATGTATCAACAGACGGCGTATTCAAAGGAAACCGTTGTACACCAATTCAAATTTTACAATGAATTTGACATTGTGTACCAAAAAATTCATACTCTAGTCGTACACCAAGGTACCACTGTATTTTCATTAAAGTCCTTTTAATGACTGGCAAAAATAATATGCAGTCAAAAACTTATAGTAATATAATAAGACAATGTATGTTGGTCATTAAAACTATGTATAATCACTAAAAGAGGTAAGTAGTGTGCATTTAAAGTGAATTTGATGGTACTTGCAATTCCATGAATAAGATGGGGAAAAAAAATTGAAGCATATTATCATTATCAATAGATACTGCCTACTGTAATCTAATATTAATAGCCATATTATAGGTGCCTAAAATTTTATTTCTTATATTGTACTGTATATATAATGAAAGCTGCCACTTTCATTATATATACAAAGATTCATAGAATGAGCAAACAAATCTATTTGTGCCTGAACTAGTGCACAAACACGAAAGTACAGATCGGACTGACTAGGGTTAGGTTCACAAGCAAGGCATATTGTTTAGTCTGTCTTCCACCTCAAGGATGTGTGAAGCTAGCCAGTGTTATTTCAAATTGCCCTCGGCATGAATACATGCCCTCTCCAATCCCACTGTTTTTAAACAATGAAAACAAAACATTTCCAGAGTACCTCTATGAGGAACAAATATTTAGCAAGTGCTTTGATTAGAATTAAGAACAAAAGACGGTACTAGCTACTGAGAGAGATAAAAGTGCCGATAATTGTGGCTGCTATAATACACTTCGGCACCTAATTATCTCGTAGAACAGTGCCTTTTTGTACCATAAATGATTAATTTACCTAAACTAATAATGTGATTAATATTTAATAAAGCTGTATAGCCTTGTATTTGGAAACAAAAACAAGTAGATAAAAATGAAAGGAAATAAATTCTAATTCAAGACAAAACAGCCACCAAGAATGACACTGGGCTTACAAAACAACAATGCAACCAAATACCTAGTGAACGCGTTTACAAAAATATTAAACAAAAGGCAGTGCATATATTGATAACCATCTGATCAATATTTTTGCATGCATCTGGGTGTAGCAAGTTTGACTAGCCTATATGGTGCAGCAACATAAAACATAAGCCAAATTTTAAGGTTTTTAACACTTGCGCCCCATATTGTTATATCATGGGTTTTACCCATATTGTTATCCAAATGAACGACCATCTTAAAGATAGAAAATTAGTATAAATGTTTTATCTATTTGCAAAAAAAAGGGTTAGACTGTTTCATAAAAAATTTAGAAATTAATGTTCTTCAGTACAATATAGGCAAATAATATTGGATAAACATAACTGGGTGCAAGGCATCGCTGATTTTACAACAAAGATTTGTAAACATTGATTTGGTATCCAACTGTGTGGAAATTATTAGTATCAAGCATAGAAAATTAAAATTTATAACCCATTTCATTTGTGATACGAGTCACCACAACAAATAATGTTTAAAGAAACTGCTATTTTAAATTTTGGATCAAATGATACTGTAACGCATCAGAACAAGCGAATGTAGAGGATGTTGTGAATGTAATGCGGGGAAAAGTACGGGGAGGGTACACCATAAGGTAGTAAGTACCAGTGATTCTTAACCCATTTATTGCAGAACCATTTTATCAGCACTGTCCCACACTTAGTTGAAACACAGCCAAAATATTAACTAATTAAATACACTTTTGGCGTGAAAATATTTTTTCCCAGTTGTGCCGAGAAAATTTTTAGTGTGATTTTAATAAAAAATATGGCCAAAGTACATCAAACCAGACTAACATGGAAATTTCTTCAACTATTTCACTAAGAACCTTCCATTTGTTAAATTTTTTGACAGAAAATTATTTCTAGAGTCTGCTTATCCAACAATGACCGATGACACAAGGTCTAAGATAAAAATCTTTGCAGCAGGATGGGGATTAAATCAGTATCCTGGGTAATCTCAGACATGTGCCTTAACCAGTGGATCACGATATACTAAGTTATATAACCTGGGATCTGCCAGAACCCACTAGGAGTCCGGAAGCACAGAGTTGATAGGCAATACAAAGTTCTAAACACTACCTCCACACCGGTGTAGGTAACTGAGTTCTCCACCAGACACACACTTTAAATACACAACGAAATCTCAATAATGTGGATTTGTTCTCGATGGTTCCCTGTCCCACTCGAAAGATTTTCTCAAATATCCCATTATGATGATTTTATTGTGTACGTGTGGTCCTATACCCTACCTACTAACCTTGCTGAATCTACTTTTTTATTTTTTTTTTAAACTTTACTGATGATTGAATTATCATATCTGCTCTTCAAATTAGGGATGGAGCCAACAACAACAGCAACTACTTTCAGCTAACATAATTTTCAGCTAACATAATTTTATCTTAATTCTTCCAAAATTCTGTACAAATCAATGTTTCTTAATATTGTATCTAGTGTCCTTCCATTTTGTTTGGGGAATACAGAAAAAAAATGTTCTTTTGCAACTTTCTCCAACCCACACTTTCTTCTATCTTCAATCTTAAGAAACTTCAAGAATCTCTCTATGTGTCAACTGCCTCAGTTCCAAGACCTACAGCTACTTTTTTTGAACCGAGTGACCCATATCACTGCTGCACAATATAAAATTTCTGCTACACAAATGCAATAAGCCTTTATTGCAATATCTATGAACAGTACTTCAATGCTTACAGTTATTCTAAAGTCTAGTTCATTATATTGCTGTTGCAGACTAAATAACAGCTGTCATTCCTTCCATTTTCACTCCTCTGAACAAAAAATTTTCCACATTAAATTCCATTATCAATTGTTCACTTCAGTTGCTCCACCAATTCAGATCATACTGAAGGAAACTACAATGTCCAATATCCATAATTTATTTGAGATCTTTTGTATTATCTACAAACATGTTGATGTAACTATTCTTTTAGACAGATCACCTGACAAAGACTATAAACACTGCAGCTAGCACAAATCCCTATGGCACCCCACTAGATACCTCCCTCCACTGTTATCACTTTCCTCAAGTACCCTAACTTTTCTGTTAAAAAAATCTTTCATTCATTTAAGTGGTTTTCCTTGCATGTCTCCCAGGTGTTCCAGCTTCCAAACAAGACTTGTTGACAGTATTTGTCAAGTCGAGGAATATTTTAACCACTCATCCAGCTCATTCCTGCATTATTTCAATTACTCTACCATAGCTCAGCAGATTTGATAGCCAGCACTTCAGACTCACCTGCTTACTGTTTGCTTGATGCTTCCAAATTATGCTTCGTTTAAATTTTTACCTACACTCATAGCACTGCAAAACCCTTCACTCTGAATCTATTCTGCGCTTCTTGAACAGTGCATTTTCTTCCAACTGATAACACTTCTTTATCAGGCAAAAACTGCCAAGGCAATTACTCAACGAAGGACTGGCTGCTCCAATGTGAACGAAAATAGGCATCACCCAGGCAGGGGCTTAATTAAACAAGTATTTTTGTTTTTTATCACTCATCTATCAAGTAATTCTCCTGTTAATGGGAGACCATTAACAAACATGCTCCAAAATACCTGCCCATGTCATTAAGCAAGATATTTAGATGTCACTCTGGAGAGCTCTGCAGATAACCTTCCAGCTCAGGTGTGTGTATGGGTATATTTATTTATTTGTGATAATTCAAAACTAGTGATGGGGAAAGTGGTATCTACCATGACAGTACTTCTGACTGCACAAAATATTTTACATATGAAAACCACCATCCACTGATAACTGAACAGTAACCGATAACTTTCAAATTCTGTCATCAAGGATTTCAGATTTTTTTTATTACCAGTAATGGTGGCTGACCTTGGAGGCATATTTTCATCCAAAGTGAGAGAGAAAAGCAAACTATTGTGTGTGTGCACCCCACCCACCATAACCTCACCCCCCCCCTCCCCGAGTTTAAACACATCACAGCTTACCTGTTCACGTTTAGCAGCCTTTTCCTCCTTCTCCCGACGGCGAACCTCCAGAAGAAACTCATCAAATAAACTCTCCCTCTCTCGCATCTTCTCTATGTTACGGAAACGATCGTCCTTGCTGTATTTGGCTGCAAAATCGCTAAATGATGACTTCCCATTGAGTCCAGCCTCCTCCAGTAGTTTACGAAACTCATCCTTTCGCTCCTTCAGCTTGTTTCGCTTCTCTCGACGTTCCTCCTCTGCACGCTCTTTTACATACCTGTCAATAACGAAAATTCAATACATTACAATTTGAATAATCATACACTTGAATACAAACACATTTAAAGGACATGCAAGGAACAACCCATCCTTGAGGGAATGACTCAGGAGCACTGGGCCCAACAGCTTCCAAATATTTAAAACCCCTTATATCCACTGAACTCTGCTCATGACAAGTGGTGTGATTTTTGTAATTTTGCAATATTTAAATGTTTTTAAATGTTTATTTTTTCACTGATTAGAAATGACACTTGTTGAGTTTGGAAATTTTGAAATTTTTTTCATTAAAAATCTCAGTTAATGCCAATAATTCAATAACTGCATCACATGAAACAAATGTGCAATGAAGGGATTTACTGAACACCAAAAGAAATCTCCAGTTAGCTGTTAAAGGAGAAGCAATTACGGGGGCTTCGTATCGAGACCACATTATGTTGCCGTTTCTTATTATCTTTATAATGGTTTAACTAAGATTATTAGTCAGTTAACCAACTTCGTGTCCCAAATACAGTAATGATATTTGCAATGAAATCAACACAATATATCTATGGGGAAATGTATGCATCTTGGGTGACTGGTAACTTTCAATTCCAAAGCCCTTCTTCGAAGATTTTCTCATTCTTCAAATGAACCAACTGGTTACAAACCCTCATGGTGCAATCATTTACTCGTTCCCCCTCCCATTAAATTTATGTATATTTGACAAAAAAATAAATATGTAGAATTTAAAATCAATATATCAATATTGCAAATTCAACTTTTCCCGACTGTTGCATATGCAGACAAATTCTTTGCCGCTGACTCATCACACAAGTGCATAGGAGCAACATACCACCAACTGTGGCTCATAACCAATGAAAAATGTCTTGCTGGAAAGCTAGGGACCAGAACCAAATCATTCGGGTAAACAAATCATTGGAAAATACTACAATTTCCAAAAAATAAAAACGTTAGTAATATATATAAAAAAAAAAATGCCCAAGCCAGGACCTTAGGTTGGAGGGTGTATAAACAGGTGTTCGGGTTAGTGTTGCATGAGGGTGCAGAGAGCTTATGAATGCAGGTAGCTGGGTGTAGGTGCATGAACTTATCTTTCATATTTACATCTAGCTCTAGAGCTTTTGAGCCTGGTATATCTTGAGGTTATCTTGAGATGATTTCGGGGCTTTTTAGTGTCCCCGCGGCCCGGTCCTCGACCAGGCCTCCACCCCCAGGAAACAGCCCGTGACAGCTGACTAACACCCAGGTACCTATTTTACTGCTAGATAACAGGGGCATAGGGTGAAAGAAACTCTGCCCATTGTTTCTCGCCGGCGCCGGGGATTGAACCCAGGACCACAAGTCCAGCGTGCTGTCCGCCCAGCCGACCGGCTCCCCCCAGAGCTGTACCAGTATAACTGGTACAGTTATACTCTGCACTGAAAATTTGGCTTGTTACCAATTTCTTCTCCAATCTGATTTTCCTGAGATGGAATCATTTCCTCTATCCACTGCATCATTTCTCCTCGGTATATTTTTAAGTTGTGATAACCTCGCCCCTAGTCATCCTTATTTCTAGCCTAACCTTTTGTTCAAGTCTCCAAGCTCTGGTATCAATTCTTGTAATATATCTCAAAATAATTTTTGTGCTACTGATGCATCTGGATTTCTTTCTTAGGTTTATGAATATTTCCCATTGTCAATTTGCTCATGTTATGAGTTATGTCAATTTGCTCTATTCATAATTACCTCTTGTGTGAGAATGAGTAGCGCTCTCTTTTCTGCCTAAAGAAATTTAGGGACTGAGCTCGCTTTGAGGACACAAGCCTCATTGAGTATAACTTACCTTCTTCATGCTTGTGTTCTTCGGTTACCAAGTTTGTCTCCTATCCAGAACACAATCATATTTCAAATTTTGTCCAGTACTTTACAGGGCATACACATAAGTGATACTGATCTGTAGTATAGGACCTTTTTTCAGGAATATTGGCATCACACAATGTATCATTTCAGATAGCACACCCATTTTCTAAGTAGCAGTATAGCCTCAAGTTAATGGGTAACAAAATCTGTGTCTTTCAGTTGCCCTGACAATATCTGGTGTGATCCTACTGCCTTGCTAATGTAAAATTCATAGTTTCTTTATTTTAGTTACTACTGAATCATATATTACAGGAATACTTCTGCCAATCAAGTCACAAGTGCCAGATCTCCTCTATGATTTGATCTTGAGATAAAATGAAACTTCCAATTTAGTGTAATTACCTATCTATACTTCTGTTAATCTTAATGAGATTGCTTCCCTAACTATAGGTCAAGTTCACCCCCCACCCCTTTCTACTGGTACTTGCCTCAGGGCAAACCATTGGACTTATCCTTGCTAGAGCTGCATTTTGTATGACTGCAATAACTTTCCATATGTACAGTACAGTGGGACATCAATTTACAAATGCCCATACTTACAAATTTTTTGAGTTACAGCCCCAATTTCACTGGAAAATTTCACTAGACTTACAACCTACGCCTCGACTTGCGACTTTGTTGATGCACGTATAGGTCGATGGAGCTCGTGGTTCCTGGTGGTACAGGCAACCCCTTTTGCTTTAGTTTACCAGACCACCCGCTTTCTGATAATGCACTTGAAGTCTTCGTAAAGAATTTCATTGTTTTTGTGCTTTTTTGCTTTTTGAACATAAAAGTAATTATTATATATCACGCCATGGGTCCCAAGAAAGTCAGTGGCAAGGTTCAACCTAAGAAAACACATGTGAGGATGACCATAGAGGAAAAACAAGAGATCATTCATAAATATGAAGATGGTGTGCGGGTTGTTGATCTAGCTAAATGGTACAACAAATCTGTCAACGATATCCACTGTACTTGCTAAGAAAAAGGGCATTGCAAAGTGGCAAAAGGCAAATCAATACACCTTTTATAGGGAAAATGTAGGAAAACGAGTTTTTCCCAAATAACATAGGAAAAACAGGTCTATGGAAAGGTTCTTTGTGATAAAAACGAGCAGTCACAACCAAGTCCTAGTGGTATGCAGGCAAAACGTGGGAAAGAATGTATCCCAGAGAAGTCATCACTGCCTGATGATACAATGGAAGGGGACTCCCCCTCCAAACAGTAACACCTCTCCCCTCCCCCCCATCTTCCATACGCCAACAAGAGTCGTCAATAAAGGTAAGCTATAACTTGTACATACTATAGTACAAAATGTGTGTATTATATACGAAATGTATTTTGAAGTTAATATTTTTTTAGGAGTGTGGAACGGATTAATTCAATTTACAATATTTCTCATGGGAAAATTTGTTTCAAGTTATGAATTTTGGAGTTACGACCCGTCTCTGGGAATAGATTAAATTCGTAAAAGGAGGTACCACTGTATTTTGAAGGATTCCTTGCTTATGTTTGCTAGTATGTAATGTATATGCTACAGATTTTCTGATAAATGCATTTGGTTTTACATCTTCCATTCCTTAATTTCCCTTCTGATTTCTGCAACTGCCCTTCTCAAAGTATTAAATTATACTGTACTGTACTGCCTTTCTGGTCTTCTCACTTGAACCTCTTTATTTTATATTTTTAAGGATTTGTCCACCCATACCTGCAGCTTGTCTAGGTCCTCCTCTAGCAATGTATAGCCCTCTTTAATCATTACCCTTCTCATCAGCTTTGTACTGCATCACCAAAATACTTCTAGGAGTTTGACAAAAAACTATACATGCACTATTCCAGTCTAATATGTTCCCAGTTATTCCCCAGCCTGCTTTTCAAACTAATACATTTGGACATTATTGTTGGGTATTGTCAAGGGCTTTTTGGAAATCTAGAAAGCAGAAATCCATCCACAATATTTTGGTGACTCATAGAACTAATGAGATTTGTAACAGGAAAACATCTCCCCAATAAAATCTCTAAATATAATATGAATGATGGTAGAAACTACAGTAAAGAATTTATATTTTGTATACTATCACAGAAATGAAGCGCGCACAGCACAATATGCCATTATCAATACTTTAACCAACAAGTGGCTATTATAAAAACTGGCCACATCTACGACAAGAAAAATCTGCAAAAAGACTTCTTATAAAATGATAGTTGCACAAAAGAAATTTTCTGACTGAGATGTAAGAGGAAGTTGGGTCATTGTGTTAAAATTTACCTATTATGAGGTTCAATTCTAAGAAACATTTTGAGTTTCTACAGTATCTAATATCTTCATATAGATTTTTTTAAGGAAAAATATATGTTATTACCGTAGTGTAGTTACAGGATGAAAGCTACACTTGGGGTGTCCCACTCCCAATATTCTGTCATATGACGCTTTGAAACTACCGTACTGACAGTTTTGGCCTCCATGGCGCTCACGCTTAATTAACTTGCTCCAACCATCAACCACTCTGTTGCAGAGAACTTGTAGTATACACTGGGGTATACTCCAAGGGTATTATTTGCAACTAAGACAACTGTGATTATCTCCTGGCATCAAGATATACATTTGAAAATTTGGGAACAACTACACTTATTAGTTTTTATTTCACTCCCCCACCCACACATGAATTTTAGAACTGTTCTACAACTGTCACGAAAAGGTTGCATGGTCTAATATCAATATTCCTTACATTACAATACTGCACATAAATCATCCGTTTCAAGTGAATATCCAAAGGCGTTATCACAGTCACCAGAAATTTAAGACCTATTATTTTTCTCTAAACTGGATCCCATTGTGGGATACCTACTTAGAGACCCTCACGATGATAGTACATTAACAAATAAATTGCAAGGGTGATCAATGGAAAATATTTAAGTCATTAAACTATTTATTTCTTACATTTTAATACAGACACAAATTAACTTTTCAAGCTACGTTATTAAAGAGAGACGATGAAACATTTACTAGTATTGTATTCACATACGATTATCACTTAGCACTCCTCTTGTGCTTACACATATGCACTCGTCCAAAGGGCTTTACAGGGCTTTATATATAATACCAATGCTGAT